TCACAAAATGCTGGTATAAGTGGCAATTTCATATATTGACAGCATAACTCTTAAGAATGCAAAAAAAGAAAAAAAATAGAACAGTCCACAACACTAAACTGCAAGAATCACATGAGGAACCCAATCTAGAATCTTCAGTTCACATGCAAACTTCACTTGGGTTCTTTACTATTATTTTTTAAACTTTGGTCTTTATTTCCAATGTATAAAAATCCCATACCAAACATCATAAAGTTTAAACATCATTTAGTCTTGGAATATCTTTAGCCATAATGGAAAATGCTATGATGCATGTTGAAGCTTGCAAACAGTATGATTTTCTAAAGACTAATTTAGAGTAGCTCTTGGTGTCGGTTGACAGCATTATAAGTATATTGGTGTGATAGTTCATCTATATCCAAATGATATACTCTAATAGATCATAATAATGAGAATGATTATTCGAAACAAATGATCCTGAGAGTTTGCTCTCCACTGGATCACTGACGGACTTACATGGTTGTCTATGTATGCAAGTGCAAACACACAAAAAAATTTCATTTTGAAGAGTAAAGTACCTTTTGAGTTCTTCACAAAAATCACAGGGCCCATTTTAATCTCATAGAAAAAAAGTCGACTTGTGATCCCTTTGAAATTCAAAATATACATAGTTAGTTGAAATCGTGGTCTCTCTAAAATTCAAAGAAAACCCACGTTAATCCCTCAAAAGGACTAACATTGATCTATTTTGAATTTCAGAGGGACCACCAATCGACTTTCAAACTTTACTTATTGGTCTAAAATATTTTTACCATCATATTTCCAATTTTACTTTTACATTCCAGGTAATTTTGCCTATACCCATTTTTACCCCAAAACACTCTCTTAGGCTCACATTGATTGAACTAAGCCTTCTTACTTATTTTATCTACAATGTGAAGAATTAATATTTAATCTAACCTTTATATTAAGCTTATCACTTAATTAATCTGATTAAACACGATTAAATCTTCAATCTCAATTACCAATCCACATTGATTGAACTAAGTATTCTCACTTATTTTATCTACAATGTGTTTGATTAATATTTAATCTAGTCCTTTGTATTAAACCTCTCACTTAATTAATCTGGATTATAAATGATTAAATACTTAATATCATACCATTAAACATATTACCAATAAGGGTTATTATAACAACCCTCTGAATATGAGGTTTCAAACCAGATATAAAAATACTTTTACACATAATAGGTGCTAGATCAGGCACTCTCCTAGCAATAAGCTCAAAAGCGGATTGAAATTCCATAATAGATTCAAATTGATGCAATTTAACCAAAGAACCCAATGGATCCTCAAACTTAGAAGAACCAAGCGTTGGTTTAGCAATACCACAAATGAATGCAATCTGGAAATTGACCACACCCAAATAGAGCTTCAAACCAGCAAGAAGTAGGCCTATCCAAATTAAATGACACTAAATCAAGTCTGTCATAGTCATGTATTAAATGACACTAAATTAAGTTTGTTACGGTAAGGTACTTAGTAATAACGAAAGTACCTTTCAACTACAAATAACCAGGGGCTTAGATCACCGGTTGCAAATCTGGGAAAATCTATCTTTATAGGGCGTGTTGAATATGATGTACAAGCTAGGCCAGCACCCAATAAGCCTGATTGCTGATTTGCAATGAGATTAGTCATTTGATTCTGCATATTCTGTAAAAGGGCAAACATGTCCTGGATATGGTGATTAACATCTTCAAACCTATGATTTTGTTATAATTCAATGGTTTCAAAATGATGATCCATTGTTCTTTCCATAGCAGTAAAATGTTGTTCATGAGCATGAACTTGATTGATGAGATCTCAGAGCTTGGTGTCTAAGCCATAGCTCAATGAAAACACCAATGTAATAAGAGCATAATTATAGATAAGTGAGAAAGTAAGAAAAAAATATTGGAGAGAGAAAGAAGAAGAAGATGAAGGATTGTTGAAACGGTTCATGTCCCTTTAATAGGCCCACTTGGCTATTTATATTTCATAGTCTGTTTCATTGTAATTTGACTTTTCAAGTAATTAAAAAATAGTAAATAGAATTAACAAATCTTATGGATTTACTTCCCATTAGCCCATAATGAAGTCCTTGAAATAGGTAGGTCTTCTACTCACCCTTTTGTTGCTGGTCTCATTAGCAATTGGGCTTAAACATCCAGATCCATTACAAAAAATGAAAGAAGTTGAAAGTTAAAATAGATTTTCTTCAACAATACTTGTAAATTCAACTTAAAAACATAATTGATGTGTTGCGAAAATGATAAGTATATTGATCGTATAAATAATAAAGTGATAAGTACATAATCGTTCCCACGAGGATTAAGCTATCAAGCTCTATTTTCACTACTCGATCAAAGTTAGATCGACTATAAGAGTTTTTCTTGAATACAATTTTAATATAAAAATACAAACTATAACTACCAAATAACTTTCAAGAACATAATCAAGAACTCAGAATAACGAATGAATTAAAACTAATAATGCAACGCGTAGTTAGGGATTCGATTTCTCCAATTTCATCCTAATGAATCTACCCTTTCCCCTAACCAATATTCAATCTCATGTTATTGACAATTCTTCAAGATTAATTAAAACTCAATCCCTTGGTGTTTCCATCCTTTACCTTATTAAAAACCCTAATTCCTTAGTGATCTCTCCTACGGCAAGCATTAAGAACAAGAATTGAACAGTCATAGGTTTTATAAGTCTATCCCTAGATCGAACAAAATCTAGAAATTAATCAATCAGAACCCTACACTAACATCCCTATTATCATGCAAGATTCATGTATTCATCTACGACTAGCCAAATCATAAACGAAACTAGGAAGTAAAAGCAGATTAAATTGCATAACATAAAGATTGAATATTAGATTATAAGAAAGGAAAAGATAAGGTTAGGAATCCATTGAGTTTATCTAACCCTAACTACAATGAAGTCTAGCTTAACATAATGAAAGAAACGATAACAAACAATGAAAAAAATGAGAAGTAATAGATAGAACTTGGTAATCGGTATCCACGATGAAGCCTTGATTGTTCCTCCATCTTTTTCTCCAAGAATGGTGCTTTCTTCCCCTTCAAATCTTCCAAAATTGAATTCCAATAGCCATAATTCATGCCTTTTTTATCAAGAAGATGCATGGGCCTTATTTACGAGGTGCTCGTTGTGTTTGCTCACTGAAGCCAGCAAACTAGCAAGCTAAAATAGAAAAATGCATGATTATGGACTCTTGCTAGCTGAAGCGAGCAGCTTAGCGAGGAAATACGATTGCTCATTGAAGCGAGCCAGCCAGGGAGGATGAAGTTGGAATCACTGGTTTTTGGTGGGTTGCTCGCTAGGTTGCTCACTTGAGCGAGCTACTCAGCGAGCTGCAACGTGAATAATACTCCTTTGGCTTCCAAATGGCTTGAGTCTTGTCTTCATCCGACTTCATTGATCCATCAATGCTCTGATAAGGAAATTTTAGCCTGAAACTGATACATTTTTAAGCCAGTATAATGTCTAATTATAAAAACTCCAAAGATCTTTTGCATTTGATAATATACACCATGTCTTTAACTATTTACAACGTTATTTATCATACTTTTGACTCTGAAAACATAACATGTTTGACACTTAACATGTTGTAATGACATATAATATATTTTCTTTCACGGGATCAAAGTATATATTCGATAGAGCACCTAAATTATGTCTCGCCAACCAAAGGTTCAGTAATGTTACAAAAGTTACTAATGCAAGGAAGAGTTATCCACACAATTTTACCTTTGGCTTTTTGCAAAAAAGTTGTTTCTCATATTTGAACATATTATCTTTCGGTTACAAAGAGCAACCTAACCATTACTTTAAGACTCCTCTTTCCTTAATCTCGTAGCAAATAGGGCAAATTTTTTTCTTAAGAAAATATGTTCTTCGTATTTCAATCATAACTAATTTTTATGTCCATCTTTTTTATTCTCTATCTATATTACAAATAAAAGTAAAAATAAATAAATAAATAAATCTTTTCCATTGGTTAGACCACAGTTTGCACTATAACTCAAAACATACTATTTATGATAGTATATCTTTATATTACCAATATAGGTCTTATCGTTTCTCAAGTTCCTTGAGATAACTGTATCTCTGGCTACTAAATCATAACCATACAAAGATGGATCAATGGTGATAAAGGAAGAGAGAGAAAAAGAAAATCATAACCATTCAAAGATGAATAAATTAATATAAGGAAATAAATATACAAAACGACGTAATTTTTAGGTAGACGAAAGTAAATATATCTCAAGCTACTTGAGAAATATTTTTCTCTTTTATGTCTCCCTTTTTTATTCTCTATCTATATTACAAATAAAAGTAAAAATAAATAAATAAATAAATCTTTTCCATTGGTTAGACCATAGTTTGCACTATAAATCAAAACATACTATTTATGATAGTATATCTTTATTGAAAACAATATTTCTGCAGTTACTGCTGATAAGTTATCTGCATTTACTTTCAAAACGACATCGTTTTGGAATTGAAAGATTAAAAATTATAATTATAAAGATTATAATAACCCTGAAATAAATTAAAATTACAAAAACACCATGATTTCTGTCCCAAAACAACGTCGTATTGGGCTTACTGCAGATAACTTATCTGCAGTAACCGCAGAACAAGCGAACCCATATTTATTTGCAGGGTAACATTATTTTAATATTAGGTAGAAGTCGAATTTTTTACCCCTATTTTGTTTGTTCATTTACAAATTCAAAATCAATTAACCTAGTGTTGGCAAGTATATGATTAATGTGTCATAACAATGCCATTAGTTGAGGTCAATGTGTTCACACTCAGAACATAGGTAGGAGGACATGCCTTAAAATGAGATAATATGAAAAAGTGTATGGCACTTTTCGAAATGGTAATATACATAATTTTCTTGTCAAATTACAAGTATACCATAAACAGATCGATACATAGGAGACTCTTAGTTTGGATCATAAGCAATTGACACCACGCTAAGATTATTCTTCAAAATCAAATTTCAAATGGTTGTGGAATTTATGGATAGCAGGGCAATCTATATTATAATAGTGGTGGAAAATAGAAATATGATTTACAAGTGGAAACATATTTTCATCATCAGAGGATGAAATCCTAGTCTTTTATGCTATATAAACCTAATTGAACTAATTCAAACTATGATCTCTGCTCTACTACCATCACTTTTTCCTTCATAACAATCAGCCACTGCAACCTTTTGCACATTCTTATAAGAATACTTACGAGCAAAGAACACAAACATGAACAAGTTCAGTGTGGTTATGCATGCAAGTAGCCAATAGAATCTGTCCAAGCGGCTACTATTCAAATCCTTACCAAACCAACTTTTCCCAATCTTACCTGTGACTTGGTCAACAATTGTTATCAACAAACTACTGAGAAAATTTGCAGCCCCAATCACACTTAGGTAAAGTGCTATCCCCAAGCTTTTCATTGAATCTGGCACTTGGTCATAGAAATACTCTTGCAAGCCCACAAGGGCTAAACCATCACCAATACCAATAATTAGAAATTGTGGAGCTAACCAAAAGACACTCATTGATAATGAACCCTTTGATGGATTCATCTCGACAGCTTCAAGCCTCTTTCTCTCTACCAAAGCTGCTACTATCATTGTAACAACTGAGAAAAACATTCCAAAACCAATCCTCTGAAGGATATTCATTCCTCTTTCATTTCCTGTTAGCTTTCGTAACACTGGTACAAGGATCTTGTCATAAATGGCCACAGAAATTATCATCCCAATGGCGGCAAGAGTGAAGATTGAAGCTGGAGGAATCTCAAACCCATTATTGCCTATCTTTCTGTCCATGATGGCACCTTGTTTGATGAAGAAAGTGGGTGTTTGTGCAGCACAAATTCCAAATGCTAAAGTAAATACCCAAATGGGGATCATGTTAATAATAAGCTTCATTTCTTCAACCTTAGTCACAGTTGCAAGTTTCCATGGACCCTGTTTCTCTGCTAAGTTTCCTTCATTCTCAAGAATAGCTGCCTTGTCAAGAAATCTGAAACATAGTATACCATCAATTAATTTATATACCTCTAAATTGATCTTTCTGTCTCAATGTAATGATTAAATTATATGAGAATGTATCCTTTTATCTCTATTTTGACTATGATCGCGTCATGTGAAAAATCTCGGTCAATCATTGACTGATCAACAGTCACAAGATTATTGACAAAGCTTATATAACGGATAAGAGCAAATAATTATTTTAATTGCTGACCATTGATCTATCAATGAATGAGAAATTTCCTTGGTGCTACGGATGCACCGTAAATTCAGTGCATCTTCCACTTATATTATGACACATGTCTTACTATTGTCAAATCAATAATAAATAATGTATTTTAAAATCAGAAGAGAAAATGATTTGATATAAAGTAAGACACGTGTCACAGTATGAGTGAAAGATGCACCGAGCGTACTGCCAAAGATATTATCGAATGAATGATTGATTGATGGTCATGTTAAAAAGAAACGTGAGAGAATCTATTCCGAAACTATACTACTTACTTGAGTTTCTTGGTATGGGCCAGAAATCTTCCATTGCTACCCTCAAACATTGAAACTTCATATAGTTGAGTTGGATCGGAAGGATAAGGAAGCTTTCTTTTGGAAATAGCAGCAACAAGAACCTGAAACATTGGAGTCAAGGGGCTGCCAGTTGGTGCCCGATAACGATAAGTTGACCTTCCTATCAAGAAAATGACCAATGAGAAAGCCATGACCACTGTGAGGATGATATCAGCAACACCCCAATTTACATGGTCTTGTACATAAACAACCACAGTCACTCCTAGAATGAGTCCACTGCAAAGACCACAATTCCACCAGTTGAAGTAGGACATTTTCTGCCTTCTTTCTTCAGCATGATCATCATCAAATTGATCAGCTCCAAAGCTTTCCAAAGAAGGTTTATGCCCTCCAGTTCCTATGGATATTAAATAAATGGCTAGGAAAAAAACCACTTCATGAATCCTCCTAGGTTCAGAACACATATTAATGTGATCACATGGCTTTAAACCTGGTAAGAACCATGACAGAGAAAGGAGAACCAAACCCTGTTTTTTTTTTTTCAACAAGAACAATTTTTTTTCATAGTTAATAAACTATATATACTATAATGACAAATTAATAATGTTACTAAGTTCTAATTGAATGGTGATTGAGATTACCATGAGATATATAATGCATGATGCAATCACAGTGATGTAGCGGCCCAAGTATGCATCAGCTAGGAATCCTCCAAAAAGTGGCATCAAAGTTGTGACACCAGACCAGTAGTTCACATTCCTAACTGCTATCTTAAGGTCTTGATGAATAACCCTTGTGAGATAAAGGATCAAGCTAGTTGCTATTCCAAAGTAGCTTAACCTCTCACTAAACTCAATTGCTGCAAACAAGGATAAAAAATTGTGTGGTTAGTGCAAATAGATTACTTTTTTTTTGAAAAGTATGAGTTCATAGTTTCCTTAGAAACATATCGTGACATGTAAGCAATACAAGGGTAGTCTAATTTGGAAGATCTAATGTTAGTGTTCAAATTTTCCTTAAATGAGAAATTGGGTTTTTAATCCAAAGCCACTTTGCAGTGTCGCTCGATTGAGTTTTAGGGAAAAACATGGAAGTGTTATCTCATGCATCAGAAGTATTTTTTTTTTATGTTGTGACTTTTTTATTTATATGCAAACTTTTTTTTTTTTTTAATAAATGTGTGGTTCATCACTAGTTGAGTCACAATATAAGAAAATAATTCATGCAACATGAGAAAATCAAAATCTTAAATTTTTATTGTGTTAGAAAATTTAGTTTTTTTCACTATATTAATTTAAAATTACTTTTTATTTAGTATTTTGAAACATAAAAATCATACTATCATAATTGATTTTTTTTAAAGAAATCAATAATAGTTAATTGATTATTCAATAATTTTATTCAATACTAATCGTAAAATACGTCCTTTGTAATTTAACTCCCATTATCCAAGTTACACTTTGCATAAAATAGAGTGGGTATGTTAAAAAGGAAAACCACTAGTATTTGCATGGCTTAATTTGTGTGGCTGGTATCATTTATCATCACTTATGCTATTAGAATATGGGAAAAATTATTCTTATGTTGTATAAGATATATTTTCTCTCATACACACTCTTCGATAACTGTGCCACCTTTTTCTTTTCTTTTCTTTTATTTTTTCAGGTGGTGGAGCCCACAAATTTATCTCTATGACATGAGATAACTATCTCCTTTAACATGAGATTAATAAAACCATTAGAATATATATAGTTGTAGGTAGTGGGAACCACCACTTTCTGTGGTCGTACAGCTCTTGACCATTCAAGTTCATGGAAATTTGACCATATAGTTACTTTCATTTATTATTATTTTATTGGTTTTTTATTGGCTAATACATACTCTTCTTATACTTAAATTTATAGATATATAATACTGAGCATGAAGATAAAAAGGATTAGAGGTCTTCATCCTTGTCCTTCATATAGTTTTTATGTGGGTGAGTTTGAATTTTCTAATTAATGGGATACAGGTCTCATAATATTCTCTAAACGTACTCTATTTTTTAAAATCAAAATCAAATTCTGCCATCTAAACTTAGTTTGGATGAGGATAGAAAATAAAAGTAATAGGTTTAAGTTGGGGCGAATATGTTAAAAGACTTGCACTAGAAAAAAGAAAATGTATTTTAATTTCCTAATGAGTATAAAAGAGGTAATTAATATATTCCAAAAATTAAAAAAATGAAAAATTGTGGTGATACATGCAGATATAGTGGATTTAATTAAGATAGTGTGCTGGGAATATTCACGTAAGAATGTAAACAAATATAAAAAGCTTGTTAAATACACCCATCACTCAATAACTTAAACTGTACGTAGTTGGAAATGCTTGATGTATAGTAAATGAAAAAATAAACAAGTTCCACTAGCAATCAGTACGACTATATAATTTTAGTTGCATCCGAAATTTTTAGTTGATATGTTAGTCATTTTCAGCTGCATTAATGCAGTACTGCCTTTAGGCAAAAACAGTATTCATTCATATGGAATAAACCACACACATGCACGAGGATTTCATACCACTTTTCTACTAGCTTGGGAGTAGGGACTATATATATTAAAGATTATGAGCTTATGTGAATGTATTTGCACATTATGACAAGCCTAGTGGCACCAATATATTTTATGGCCTAACTTCATACATATATGAAACTGAAAACAAACCAGAGAAAATTCCAGAACGGGGTTTCAGTAAAGACAAAAGTACACAGAGCTCATTAGAAATTAAATAAAAAGTAATAAAACAAATGAAGAGAATACATTTAGAGTAGTGTATAAATTAATAAGTGGGAAGTTCGAGAATCGAAAAAGGTCGAAAATATTCGAGTGAGTTGCATGGAGTCCCACACCAATTAGAAATAAGCATTGATGGAGGTATCTCTTGCAAAAGTTTTTTGGCTCTCATGTTAACATTCTCAAAAAAATTAGCATATAAAAATTATGGAAAAAAATTATATTTATAAATTTTTTGTTTTATGTATTAAAAGTATTCCAGCAAACATATACTACCCCTATTATATAATATAGTTTGTAAATTTTTTTTTTTTGTAAATATAATTAACCCTCCCCAAAAACCATATATACAAAGATCAAAATTGTCCAACTACTACAACGATGCAATAACTTTAGGTATGTTAATCCCTTACCAATAATAAAGAGAGAAGCTTTCCAAGAACCAGTTGAAGCTCGGAAGGGAACTCTTCCTTTGTGATCCACTGAAGAATCATGAACCCATTTCATCTCATCATTAACCTCTCCTTGTGTTGCTTCGAATTTGTTCTTATCCATCTTGCTATGCTAGCTTAGTAGTACTAGCTTGAAGCTGCAAGTAGAAAACTACACTTCCTTGCTCAAAGTATTCTAAATTAAAGAGATATTGGAGTTATGTGTGGCTATTGCTTTGACAAACTTCACCTTAGAACCTCCTTATATAGGGAATGATATATGCTTTTTTATCCCCCCCCTGTCTCTCCCTCTCTCTCTCTCTCTCTCTCTCATATGCAATAATTTTGATATAAGACAAAGACAATTTTATTATTATTTATTTTTTAAAGGGGAAGTTGTGGTGCTTATCTCATTAACATGTTTTAACAGTAAAATGCCCTGTTAAATTGGTAAAGGCCTCCACGGATTGAAACCCAACAAAGATGCTCTTTACTTGCACTTAGGAAACGTCACTGTTGTAATGGAATAGCATTCGCGCGCCCACATTTTCTTTAATGGGACCTCTCAGTAGTGTTCCATTCGAGGCACCAAAAGGTCTAGGTGAAAGTGGGCTCGGCTGGGCCAGGCTTTGTTTCGAAAAGTCTAAGCTTACATCAACAATTTTCAATTTGGCCTGACCCAAGTATGAATCTAACTGTTAGTCTGGCTTGACCCGTTTATAAAAAAACAAATGGCCTGACTTAGTCCGTTGCCTTGTTAATTTTTAACTTCTAAGCATAACCATGAATCAACTTTACAAAATATTCAAATTCTGCTGCTAAACCAAAAATCATAATTTTAACGTCCAAATAGAATCATGAATCACAACAAAACTCATACAATATGCATTTAAATCACTTTCAAAACAAAATGCTCAAATTAAATAACATATATTTCATGAATTAAAATAACTACATGAATCCAACAAACACATCATGATGCTTGTAGTAAGTATAACCTCTCTCAAAAATCTTTTAATATATTCATATACACAATCTAACATGCTGAGAAGTTGGTTCCTCCTACATAAGAAATAAATTCAGATTTCTATTAAAATATAATCGAATATAATTAAGTTATAAATAATTGCAATTGATTAAATTTATATCTTTTCTTTTTTCTTTAAGGCATACATATTTTATTTTATTTAAAATAAATAGTATAATATAGACAGGCTTGTAGGCTTATAGACCAGGCCTTGTGAAAGTGGGCGTACGACCTTTTTATTAAACAAGCTTTTTCTGTTATAAAAAAAAAAAAAACAAGCTTTTTCAAGGTCCAAATTCGACTTACTTTACAAAATGTACTAAGTCAGAACTGGCCTGACATAAGCCGAGCCCTAGACCCCTGTAAGCCGGCCCCAACCCAGTTTCACCTCTAGTGCCAACCAAGCAAATCAAAAAAAAAATAAAAAAAATTATGACTTTAAAGTAAGGAAAAATCATTTCTGCGTTTAAGGCAGAAAAGTTATACAATATATTATATATTATGAATAATATAAAATAGAGTTTAATTTTGAAAATTATACTATTTACTACGAATAATATATAATGAAGAATTTATTTCAAAAGTTACACTGATGCGTAATAATATTACTGCATATAACTTTTTGTTCCGCGGAGAAGTTAAACCCTTAAAAGTAATATATAATATTTTAAAAGTAATACTTATTTGGCAACATGAAAGGGCAAGGGCTATATATAGTTGCAAAGATCAAAAAATTACACAGACCAAACGGATTTGGTTTTTTTTTTTTTTTTTTTTTGTCTGGCGAATAAAGAATACAAAATAAAAACCTGTGTTTGTGAGCTTTGTCAGGTGATTTATTTATATTTTGTAAGTAACTTTTTCCATACGCATATATGTAGCTAGAACAATAATTTTTGCCATTTCCAGGCATATAAAAATAATCAGCTCCGGTAATAGTGTATTCATGAAAGGAAAGTATACAATATATGAAATTAGACACAGTATAATATTTTTATATTTAAGTTTTTTTTTTTTTGTATAATATTTTTATATTTAAATTTTGTTAAACTTCTAAAAGTGAGCATATATGCTCAAACTCACACGTTATTATATTTTAAATATTCTAACGTCAATAACTTTATATTGAAATAAGACGAATGTTATATTTATTAATTTTTTGTTTACAAACTCTTACAAATTATACTAAGTATAACTGGTCATACTTTAATCAAGAGTGTATAACCGGTCATACTTAGTATAATTTGTAAAAAAAATATTTGTAAGCAGATCTTTTCTCTTGAAATAAATATTTAATTATATATTTTATTTATATTTTGTTGCTTAGTTATAACACAAATACGTTAATAGTTAAATGAAATGAAAGCATATAAGAGTATAATTGCATAATAATAAAATATCTCACATTTTCCACACCAAAAAAAATAAAAATCTCACATTTTGAGACAATGATCAGAACGCCACCTTTTGGGATTTTAACTTTTAAAATGCGGTTCAAAAATAAAATGTCAAAATGCTACGTTTTAGGATCGAATTATTAGTTTCAGCGAGTCCAGTGTATACTACGTACGAGTTGTCTGAATAAGGACCCAGATAAAAAATAACATAACCCATTATTTTTTATATTGGATCCCTATTTGCACGTTACATGAGAAATTGATAGTGTTTCTTTATGTAATTGATTACTGTTTTGTCACGTGTCGCTAAAGAAGGACCGCTGTTGGATTGGATCCTAACTAGACCCGTTGGGACTAATAAGTAATAATAAATTCTGAAACATGATATATTTTGATATTTTATTTGTGAATGACAACTAAAATCTCAAAACGCGACATTTTAATTCTTGTCCCTCACATTTTACTGAAGAGTCGGTGTTCAAATGTGGTGTCAAGTTACAGCCTTTTAAGAAAGCACTTACTTTTGCGATCAAATCTCAATCAAGTCGGTTTGCATGTAGTGTGGAATATCATTTTCTCCTCAGACAATGAATCTTTAGTCTTCCTTTGAATCCACATTTAGCACGTGTGCTTTATAATTCATAATAGTTAGAATGGTACATAAAAATGTTTCCAAACAGAAAAAGAAAAAGAAAAAGAATGGTATCACTCAAAGAAATTTTGACTTCTTTATTTGATATTTTTTAGATAAGAGATAAACCAAATAAATACGGAACACACCGTTTACAGATGTTTCCCAAAGGACTTATTTAATATATAAAATAACTTTCCAATTAATTAGGTTGGTTAATTTTCAAATTTTTTCTGTGTGTTTTATAATTTCAATCGGTGCCGGTCACAGTGTTATAAGTGGTTATTTGTTCAAAGATAAAAAAATTCAACACTTAAAAAAGTATATTGGGGAGAACTTTAATCTTCACCACATATTAAATTTTATGAATTTTTTTTTGCTCTTTTAATTGATTTCGGCCAACATTTGAAGGAAAAAATGTTAATATCGATGCAAAGTGCCTCTAGTAAACGATAAAACATACTCGGCATATAAGATATAAAAAAAATCAAAATTAAAATGTCACTTTTTTTTAGCCTATTTCAAATTATATACTATGAAATGTCATGAGATTCACCTGCCCAAATAACAGTGAATTTGATTATTGAGAATTGTAACTCTTGAAAAATATGGAGATGCTCAAATCCAAAACCGCCGGATTAATCGTGCTTGTTAGAATTTCGAATACTGGTTAATATCTACCAATAAAAAAAGAAAGAAAAAGGTCATCATGATATTTCAACTATAATATTTTAATATAATGATGCTCATATAAATTATCTAAGTCCTTCACTACTAATTTACTTTTAATGGCTTTAATAGTATTTTTTTTCTTGCATTTTTCATTTTTTTTAGATTCCCTTGTATCTCGTGTATTTATGTACTTTTGTTTTTGTTTTTATCTTGGTTCATAGTGCTATTGATCTCGTCAAGAGCACGACCTAACATGCTTTTATACCAAATCGAAGTATCATAATTCGTTGTCCAATTGATTGAATTTAAGGTATTCACACAATCACACTCCCAGAATAAAAGGTACGACATTCTTAAAAAGAGATACTGCCAAAAAGAAAATATATAACAACCACGAAATTGTAATATTTTTTTAGAAATATTCCATCGGTTCATCGCTTCGCGACTAGTCCGATTCGGGACGGGTTCAGGATTAAGGCTTTAAACCCCTCCTAAAGATGGTACTGGGGAGGTTCGAACACATGCTCTCACCTCCATCTGCTCAGCTCCCATGCGCCAACTAAGCTACCATGATTTGGTAGACGAAATTGTAATATAAATATACCTTATCGTTTCTTGTTAAAACTGCAAAAGCTTTCATGGCACACCCTTGTAATCATTTTCCACCATGTGCGGTTCAACTGGGATGAGAATTTTCAGTATTTAAAAGTGCATAAGATGTCAAAGCTTCTCTTTATGGGAACTGGTCTCATCAAAAGAGGTTGGGGGGATAAGAACGAAGTATGCGTTTACCTTTATTTTATTTATTCATTTATTTAATTTTTTGATAAAAAAAATCCCTTTATTTTAGTGTACGCAGGTATCTTTCCTACTTTACTGCTAATCTGTTATTGGTAGCTTTTGATCTCTGAATTGGACAATGCATTACTCTTCTATTCCTAAAAATTTGTAATTAATATTCTTGGTTTGAGTGGATTACACTCAAATGTAAAGTAGACTTCCTTTGAAAAGTAAATTAATTAATTTTAGAGAGTAATATAGAGGCAGCAAATTCTTTTGTTGGTTAAAACATATTATTAAGCTGTGTTAAAGAAGTATAATTTAAAAATCATAATATTGATGGATTTTAATTCTTTTTTTTTTTACTTTTAATTAATATACTTTTATTAATAGTTACAAAAATATCTTCTTAATTTAATTTAATTTCCTGTTTTTAAAGATTTCGCTGTTTTTATTATTTTCTACGAATTTTTTTAAAACAGAAACAGAGTAAATAAATAAATAAAAATGCACACATACCCTCTAATTTTTATTATTAATTTTTATTAATAAAATTAACTTTTCTCATGTTGTACGAGATAATTTTATCTCCTGCGTACACATAAAAATGTATGAGCCTCATGTGGAGCCATATAAAGAAAAGAGAGAGGAAAAAAAACATAAGTCCCACATACTTTTATGTATATGTATAGAGGAGATACAATTATCTCCTACAA